CCAAAAAAAAAATACCTGTTAATGACAATATATACTTTATATGGTCACACGTCCTCCAAATACTCAAACGTCGAGGCTAATAAGGTACCCGAAGGTACTAAAGACCCAGAAGTGAAGGCCAGGGAGTAAGAATTTACATTTAAGTATAATACTTGTGTCAGATAATTCTTGCTAGATCTCAGTAAATTATTCATGCTTCTCCATCAACAATTCTTGGCAGAACTTCTATTTCATATGCATATTGTGGTCCTCAAATTCAAAACTTCTGTATCCACCTATATCTGATATCAAATACCAGTTGTAACACTTACCAAGAGAGCATAATTTTTACCAAGAGACTATGAGCATAATGTCTATCCCCCATGCATGTTGCTAAATTTGACTATTTTCATGTTATTAATCACTCGCATCATCCTCAAATGATCTATTGCTTTTATGTGATACAGTTAAGTCTTCAAAAATAGAATAAAATCATTGCTGCTACTGTTTAAGACAATCTAGAAGTAACTTATTTTACCAACTCCAATGCAGAACAAAAGTAGTGAAAGGCGATTAAAGAAAATTGTAGAATATGTGTGTTGTAATGCTAACTTGTGGAGGTTTTCTATTCCAGAAACTTTAGGTATACTGAATGAGTTCTTCTAAATACCGGAGCCTGTAGTGACATGGCAAAGATCATGATTGTTTTTTTAAAATAAAAAACAATATGCTAGTGTACCCATCTGATCTCCTGAACGTGAAGCTCTTTCAGGGGTCGTCATCATTAGAGGAAATTTGGGCTTCATGATAAAAAATATGGCTGCAGCAGAAGAGTAGCACTTCAATTTGTCCAATCTATTTTGTGTTAACCAACTGTTATCACATGCATTTAAGTCTGCACATCAGGAAAACTACAATACGAAAAAAACTTTTTGCCTTCTGATGTTATAACTCTAAACAAAATAGACCAATCTGTTGGCAAGTAATAAGGAAAATAGAACCAGAAACTTATGAGCCAAATGTGGTACATGAGTAAAAATCAACTCCCTTTTGTCATGTACAAAAGTTGGTGAAACGAAGAAGTTTTCAAAGTAAAAGATATAACATCTGGAAGTAGCAATATACGGCTTATATATATATAATGATTATCAAGGTTGGAAAAGATACTAATGCTCAAGTTAGTGTAATTCTTTGTAGTCCGTAGATTGGCCAAAGTTAAAGTTTACCGCCAAGGTTAAAGAACCTTAATTGCCAAAATTTGATGCACTGCCCTATAAAAGGGATGAAAGGAGTAACTGACAAAAGGGATCACATCATAATAAAAAAGAAAGCACCCAAGATCAGTTCTTACGAGTACACCAGCAATATAAAAAACAAATGCATGTTCTCACAGTATGAAGGGTATGATTAACGCTCTATTTAGAAGAAAGTAACATTTTTTTATCAGAACCTCTGCGCCAACCACAACAATTGTGAACCTTCATTTTCCAGATATGTAAATTTCAATTTCGTCTATTTCTCAAGGACCACTTGATAACAGATCTGGAAATATCAATCTAATGTTAAATGCTAGATGCACCTTGGTAACTAACTAATCTTTCCGTCATCTCTGATCTGTCTTTTTTTTAGAGAAGATTTTCTATCCCGCATGCCTATGAAGAACTTCAGGTCTATTGGGAAACAATGTGATGGAAAATGGTATCAGTTTATCAAAAACATTTACTGCAGTATCCTATATCATGAATTGGACTGTTCTTTGCTTATTAGTGGCATGCTCACATCCGGAATTTAGGATTGTAGGTCAATATTACAAAATCTCAGAAGATGCCATCAGAATTACCACTTAAAAATAAAAATAAACAGATCAACAGCGTGAAACCAAACCCCACTTTCTTGCATCAAAAACTTACCAGAGATTGCACAAAGTGAACCAACTTTTTAAAGTTATGGAGATGAGAAAATAGAATTATAACAGGGAACTATTTATCAATGAAAATGATATTAACCAAAATATCGCATCAGTTAAGAATATAATAAAAGAACATATCAAATCAGTTAACAATTAGTTTATATGCAAAGACTCCGATAATTTTATGGAAATTAAAAGTTTCATGAAACAGAATGCCTTAAAATAAAGACCCTAAAATATCAAGAAAATACATGACAAAAGAACGAAGAAAAGAGTTAGTTCATTAGTTGCTTTGCCAATTTTCATCACCCACTCTATTTTAGTGGTTCAAGCCTTTGATGTGAGAGAAACACACTCAAATTAACTTCTAAAAGCAATCTTTATGGCTACAATACCCTCTATTAACATGTGGCAACTGAGAAGGGAAACACATTAACTTTTACTTTGCATACAGAATTTGTAAAAATCTAATAACCCTCTTTAACTGGAATAACATGGCAAAGATTAACAGGAAAAAGTCGAATCACTTTGTAAAAGCAGGCAAAAAATCTCACATTCTTTTCTGTCATCTCCTCTTTATCTTCTTCATCCTCATCTTCCTTGATAACATCTTTCATATCTTCAGATTGAATCTCCTTGAGCAGCCTCGCCAGTAAACCATGGCACGACATGCGAAATTATTTTATCCCGAATTGTTGAGCTACAGAAGGAAGAACAAAATATAACACAATATTACTCTTCTAATCCAAACAGCAGCACCTTATGGCCCATAAAACAAAATTGAACTTGTTAGGCCAAATATAAAAGTAAAAGTGAATAAATACTAAAGGACTCCTCCAAAAAGTAAGAAATCAGCAACACACCGAATATACTAATTTTTATTTGATTACAGACCTCTTCAATTTGACACATTTATCCCATCAAACAAAAAATATATATTAATGTATTTAGGAAAAGGAATAAATTCAAAATTGTGGAACCTACGGTGTCGTCATTTATACCATAGTCAACAGTTTTAGGTACTTGTTGCGGTTCGAAAATTTTGAAAAAACTTTCACAGGTCTCACTCTTATTTATGCATTAAGCATTTCTGACCCTTCGTTGGATCCTAAGGATATTCTATGTCTAGCTTTTTCATTCCGTTCAATATTGGTCCTAAGAGAGTAAGAATAATCTGAGCTGATGACAATGCAACTTAAGGCAAATACATGTTCATGAATATGTCTAGTGTCTGGGGTCTGGTGCATTTATTTGGAGGATAAAAATAATTTGACAGTCACTATCTCAAAAAATGTAAGAATGATGAGTGCATTCTTTGAAAAGGTTGTTTTGTAGCAATAATTATTTCTAATACTTGATACATATCCAACACAATGTACATGTCCTTCAAATGTCCACTATATTAATGTTGCTCCAGAAATTAAGCTATCGGATCTATAATGCACAACTAACTTGGCAAAACTATTTGAACACCAAAAATATTATAAGAAAACATGATAATATGATTACACGTTAGTAAGAGACCAGAGGCGATATTGTATCCATATTTAGACAATACAGAATTTTGTGGCACAAGTGAAAGCGTTTGTGTAGATTTCTTCCTTCCATGTAACCAACATTCTTTTTTTTTTTGGTGCCAAATTTCACGACCTGTACAAATAAAAACTACAAATGTATAGGCTTTGTTTGAATCAATCTACAAGCAGAATTATTTCAGTAATTGATCAATTGTAAATTTCATCCAACATATTCTGTTTTTCCTCATAAAAGGGCCAATTCCCAATTTTTTGAGGTTATCGACCATACAAAGGCGTGCTTGTTTATCTATTGGATAGACAGTTGGAACTGAAAGATTTATAGACATTATACAAGTTACTTTAGCATATCATAATAACTTTCACGGCATAAATAAACTTGCACAAATTTACCGGCATTTACGAACTTTTCCAACGCACGGCAAAGGCAATCGAGGCTATTAGAATCGTAACGGGAATAAGAAAAGCTGTTGTAATAAATGGTGAATTGAACAATGAACCATTCTTCCTTTGATATTTCATAACTTTTTTTCAGTCATGAAGTCTTCCCATTTTCCTTGACACCCAAAAAATATTTTTGAATAGAAAACCAGAAAATATCTTGAAACTTTACCAATATAAAAAGGTTAATCTTTTATCCTGATAAAATATTTACTTGCCATCGAGGTCAGCATAACAATAAAAATATAAAATTATTGCAGATTAAAAAGATGATGCTTGACATTAATTTATTCACCTTTGCTTTCATTTCTTAGATAAGGGGATGCCCACAGCGAGAAATTCCACAAGAACAACAACATAGACCAGAAGCAGTAAGTGCAGATGACCCATAAAATCCATCACTAAGTATTATCATTGAGGCTGCAAGAAGGGATGAAGTTAGAAGAAAAAACGAAGACTTGCAGGAATCCAACAAAAGAAAAATCAGAAAAATCAGTAGAGTTAAAATAATACATGCAACATGATTTCAACCAAATAACAAACGAAACAGCAAAAATTAAAAGAAATATCAACTCTATCAAACACAAAATCAACAAAAAGAGACCCCGGAACTAAAAAGATTGAAACGAAGAAGATAACATAAACCTACCTCAAAGGAAAGCAATCAATTGACTCTTTGTCTGCAATATTTTGTTTGTGTCATCTTAAACTTCAACATCATAATTGATACCTTTCAAGTTAAACCACATGGGTTGTTGGGTAAAGTTAAAAGATGACGGGAAGGTATAGTGATCAGGAGTGTAGACTAACTGGGAATCTGTAAAGACCCCTAAAAGAACTAATTTACCAAAAAAGGCTCAAAGTTAGCTTTATTTTCTAGAAACATTAAGCCAACAAATGTAATAAATGCATAAAGCAAGGGCAAAAGGTGTCGGTAATAATAAAGAGGCCTGGTTTTGTCATGCCAAGATGACATCACATTTGAAGCAGAATTATTTGTTAATTACTGTTTTACCCTTGGCCGTACCAAAACTCTCACTTATTATATAGTTAAAATTAGTATCTTTTGATAATTCGAGTGTAATATCCATTTTTCGTAATCGATCAAGTTTGACTCTTGATTTGAGATTAGTTGTTGGATTAGTACATGCCAATAGTAGTTATCGGCTTTCAGAGGATTCGACTAAATCTACAAGATCTGATATTATCCGACTAGATTTGCACAAAAGAACACTATATAGCATTGAAGAAAAGAATTTCCACCTAAATTTTGCTAGTTTTGACTTAATTTTTTGTTGGTATTAAAATGAGGTATGATGGTGGATAGAAGTTATATTCTAGTGTAAATATTATATGACCAGTATACTTATATAATATTATATATTGTCACTACCCAATATCACACCTTAAGGATCGTGACGACACCTAATCTCTAAAACTAAGTAAGTTGGTCACTTACAATAGTCAAACCAATAAATATGATATTATGAAGTAGAGATTAATATAAATGCGGAAATAAAGGTGATACAAGCCAATAGGGCAATAATCAAAATAAATCCCCAAGATTATGTAGTGTTGAGTCTCGAACTCAACCTGAATATATAGAAATAACTCAAAAATACAATACTGTTCGGATAGAGAATTTGACAGTATAAATATAAGGAAAGGGCTCCAAGGGACTGCGACAATTAAAATAACTCTACCTTGAATCCTCACGATCAAAGAAATCTCAATGCCTAGGTCCGTTATCTCCAACATCTAGATCTGCACAAAAATATGCAGAAGTATAGTATAAGTATACCATGACCGGTACCCAGTAAGTATACCACAAAAAGAATGGCAGAAGCAATAACTTTAAATCATCAGATTAAGCGATAACTATTTAAAACAAATAAAGGTCTTGTTCCGACAATAAGTCATCAAATAGAATCATACATATGGAACCTCTTGCCCACATTGTCAATCACCCTTGCATGGTAAAAGACCTTGTGCCGTAATATAAGTCACACTCGCAGAGAAAAGACCTCGCTCCACAATATAAGTCACACTCGCATGGCAAAGACCTCGTGCCACAACGTATATCGTACCCGTGTCAATTACCAATAACACATTCAAGAGAAATTTATCAAGAATCAAATAAAGTAATGCATGATAACACCTTCTTTTATTTCAATCCGTTATGCTACCAACAACTTAATAGAATGTGAGATAATAACTCTACGTAGGTAAGTCCATCTTCGTAACCAAATCATCAAGTAATATGGGAGATATGGAGTAGCACATTGGGAACAATGCAACAAAATACATAAAATGCATGACACACACAAGGAAGTCATAAGCACAAACAAGAATACTCATTTTTCATCAATAACACTCCCTCGTGCCATCACATATCATCCCCCACATAGCCATTCTTATCTCACCGCGTGCGCAACAATAAATAAATGCCCGCTTTGTCTTGTCACATGCGTATTAACAATATCCCACCTTGTCTGGCCATATGCGCAAACTCGATATTTGTCTTGTCGCATGTGAAATATATATAGTGAACCCTAACCCTAACACTAGCTCAGCTATAGTAAACCCTAATTTTTTCATGAAAGTTAAGGGTAATGTTAGGGTGGAGGATAAGAAGTAACTTGTGGTGACCTCTTCACCTAGTCTTCAGGTGAAGAAATTTCCTAAAGAAAGTGCCAACAAGATTGTTTTACCTAAGTAAGATTGGAAAAAAAACCAATTGATGCATCAAAAGATGGATAGTGTTGAAGATGATCATGATAATATGGGA